CCTTCCCCGCGGCCGCCGCGACGCTGCTCACGGCCTCCTCCGCCGCTCGCTCGTCTGTGAACGCCCGCCTTTTAAACCGGGGGTCCAGCAGGGACGCCTCGGCCAGCTGCGGCTGCCGCTCGATGTCGTCGAACCTGCGGGACATCGCCGCCTGGAGGGCGTTGAGCATCCGCGCCACCGGGCCGGGAAGACCCGCGTTCCTCGGCCGCGTGGCGGCAATCCTCTGCAGGCCCCTGGCCAAGATGATGACTTTCGAAGCCGACACCGTCTTTTCCGCACTGATTTCAGCCACCGCTTCGTCGAAAGGTTTCAGAATCCCGCACGACTCGGCCACGGTGTCCCATTCTTCCGGAGTCAGAGTGGGCAGGGCGGCGTCGACCAGTGCCAGCATCGAAACAACGGCATCTCTGGCCCTGTGAAACCTAGTCAGCATGCGGTAAGTGGAATTCCATCGTCTGGCAACCTCCTGCTTCAGTTTCAGCTCCTCCATGCCCAGTTGCTTCTGTAGAGACCTAAGTTTTTCAGCTGCTGCAGGACTTCTGCGTACATATTCCACTATTACTTTAACCTTATCTACAGTGGGTCTGATTTCTTGCAGTGCTTCTCTCACCACAAGATCTATGGTGTGGGCAAAGCAAGGCAAGTGATTCCACCCAGTGAGCCTTATCGCTTCGGTCATATTAGCAGCATCATCATCACTGACAACTGCCACAACCTTGTCTTGTATATTCCAGTCCGCAGCAATCCGAAGGAGCTCATCTTTCAGGTTGGCAGCTGTGTGCCCGTCGGCGAATCCAAAGCAGTCAAGAAGGCATGAAGACATCTGGAAGTCGGGGTTTATGAAATGGCTGGTGACTGAAAGGTAGCTGTGCCCATTGTGTGTAACCGATGTCCAGCAGTCTGTGGTTAAACACACAGCTGACGCTCCCTTTACCTTCTCCTGCACTTCAGAAAGGGTTCTTTCATACAGCTGGGGAATGATCGTCCTGGTCAGAGCTTTTCTGTTTGGCAGCACGTAAGAGGGATTAAGCTGATTAATAAAAGCTCTGAAGCCCTTGTCTTGGACAACTGAAAATGGCTGATAATCCATCACTATCATTTTCGCAAGGGCTTCGTTCAGACGGTCCTGCCTCGCGGGCGACACGGCAGAGCTGCTGGCGCTGCTTTGCTCCAGGCTTGCACTGCTCCTGGTGGGGACCAAAGCCCGATGCTCGTCTTCCCTGCTCCGGGTGCTGCTCCCTGCAAGCGCCGAAGCTCCAGCTTCCTCCCTCAGCTGGGATCTGTTTGCGCCCGGCTGCACCAGGGGGTGCTTTGTTTTGAGGTGGCGGAGCAGGTTTGTAGTTGACCCTCCTTTGTAAGACAGCTCGCTGTGACATATGTCGCACTTGGCCGTGCTGCACGTGACCGAAGTGAAATGGCTCCAAATGGAGCTTCGCTTGCGGGTCGCGGCCGTCGTGCTCATCGTCCGAAACGACCACAAAACCGTTACCCAGCACGGCAGGTTTCAGAACGATCCAGCGAGCTCTGCGGCATGAAACAGCAAGACAACATGAGTCGCAAACATCACCAAGAGCCAGTCGTCAGTGCAGTTCAAATGGAAAAAAAAAAGGCTCAAGAGATCGCATCCGAGCGCTGTAGAACCGTCTTGTAAAAAAAAACACAAAGACAAAAATTCTCCAAAAACAGAAGCTACACAAAAGTGGAACCTTTCACCTCAGACCGAAAAGCCCATCAAAGAACAAGAGAGAAATAATGTCTGGTAGACACCTCAAAAAGGTAGTATTCAGATAAGATAAGATCACTTTATTAGCCATATACAATTTCTTGTATTGGGAATTGGTCTTTTTGCTTATCCAAGCTTTCTCTCTGTGAGACACACAGACAGGGAGAGAAGCTTGGGGTCAGAGCACAGGGCCAGCCATTTATACAGCACCCCTGGAGCACCTGGGGTTAAGGGCCTTTCTCAGGGGCCCAACGGAGTAGGATTCCTCTGCCAGCCGCGGGATTTGAACCGGCAACCTTCCAGCCACAGGCACAGATCCTTAGCCGCAGAGCCACCGCTCTGCCCCAATCACACAAGTATAAGACAAACAGTACCTTTCTGAAAGTCAGACTCATCAGTGCTCAAATCACCTGCAAGACCTCTGAGAGCACTTACTCTGAGTGGACAATACAAGAGAGGGCTCAGCAAGGAAGAACGTGTGGTCCTGGGAGTTTTACTTTAGATTGTTTTGAAGGGCTGCCTTTTCACTTTACAATTCTCAGAAAAGACCGAATTACCAACAAATACGATTTAATCATTTAGATATTTTAAAACTTCCTATCAACCATCTACAGCTCCATTGATAAGCTTATAACCACTTAATGCTTACCGTTTTGCACCCAGCATGCAATTTCAAGTTTTTTGTTCTCTGAGCTCTATGTCTGGACCTGAACTGTTCCGCAAAAGGATGGCTTACCCACCTCCCAAATACTGCTATTTGAAATATTCCTTAAAACTCCCAATTTTCAAAAAAAAAATTCTACAACAGTCAATATTGGCTGCTTCAATGATCCTTGAGTGGGAAGGAAGGATGTTGAAAAGACAAATGGAAAACTTATGTGACACTGTATCCAGCAATTCAAACAGTGTGCTTTGTCTTGCATTAAAGAAAAGACATACTGGTAGGGGCAATTCATCTAATAATCACATTTTTAAGCCAAAATTGAATTGAAAGTCTTATTTGAGTCACTGTTGATTTCGGATTACTTTAAAATATACATTAACAAAAAAAAAAAAAAAACGGGAAAAATAAGGAACCCCCAAGAAGGAAAACCAAAGGTAATAATAAAAGCCGAAATTTTTAAAAAAAATCGAATTAATGTAACCATCTGAAATATGCAGCAAAGTATATTCTTCGCGCACTATCACAAACCTCATACACTTCATTAATAAGAGGGTAATTTTATGTTTCACAATGTGCTATTGCTTTATGTTCACTGTTGCTTTATGTTCACCCGAGTTTCGATGTTCCTCCCATACTCACTAAAATCCGAGAGACATCATTTCCTTAGTTGGCTCGATGCTCGATTTGTCTCTCTAAATTGAATGACTTCGTGAATCAAATAAACGAATCAGAACGAATCGTCCGCGAATTGCACACCTCTTAATACGATTTAAAAGAAAAGATTTGGAAACAGCCACGCCACTCTACCGGTTTTCAATATGAGGGTATTTATAGAGAACGATCACTTATTTAATTACGTTATTCCGGATATGTTATGAAAGAAAATAATTTTAAAGTCTGCTGCTGTTTGTAAAGCGAAAGCTTCACGGTGGTAGTACTCATTTATTTTCTATTAAACACACGCTCAACACACCCAGCTAAGAGAGCACGCCAGCCCCGTGCTGTCTATAACCCAGATTAGCTCACGGGCTGGCTACGCCTTTAATTCGTCTTGCGCATTTTGGAGGGTACTGTTCAAACGTGAGATGTCTCTTCATCTCCCACTCTAAATCTAGCCTAAATCGGTCCTCACCTGCTCCAACTGGCCCTTCAGACCCTCCAGCTGAGGTAATGTCAGCTCTGCAAGATTCACCGCCATATTAGAAGCAAAAGCAATCCCAGCGGCCGCGCCGACTTCCGGCAGAGACAGGAACTTGATGTTGCTTAGTAACAGGCGGTGCGCTTTGTCTGTCTCGTCTCGGTAATAAATGTGAAACCTCAGGAAGGCTACAAACTAGAGCCCAGTTCATTCGGCGGAGCCGGTTTGCATGCTAGCGATTTGCGCATCTCATCCAGTTGTTTCTTGAAAAAAAAAGCCAAGGTTTCAGTTGAAACGACATGAATGCGTAGCTTGTCCCACATTTCCATAGCCCTTTGCGTAAAGGAGCTTGTCAGTTTGGTCCCAGAACAATGTGGACAAACCTGACTACAATTTTCTATTTTTCTGCAAGTGCTGCCAGCATGTGAAGTTGGCTCATTGCAATTATCCTGTATAACGCATTGAGATAAGGCTTCCACAAACATCAGTGTTGATTTAGGTCACAAATAAAGCTGGACATAGTAAAACCATCAATTTTCTAATCACTTCATCCAATTCACAGTCACAGGGGAGCCAGAGCCTATCCTGGCAAGGCACAGGTGCATGGTGGGACACACCCTGGTTGGGACTCCAGTCCACTGCAGGGTAGTCACATGCACTCACACCAGGGTCAGTTTTCCCAGAAGCCAATTCACCTGCCAGCATGTCTTTGGACTCTGGGAGGAAACCTGTGTGAACCTGGGGAGACCATGCAAACTCCACACAGACTGCTCCCCAGGAATTGAACTCGGGGCCCCAGCGCTGTGAGGCAACACTGCTAAAAAACCCCACCACCACACTGCCCTAATAGAGATCAGTTAAAAGAAAATCAACAGACTGCAACTGTAAAAATAAAAAAATACACATGCTCCTGCATTGATTTAAGAGTGACCTGTTAGACCTCCAGGATAACAGCACTATAGGACAGGGGTGGGGCCAACCAAGGCATAAAGATGGAGACCAGTTTAAACTTCTGTATGGCAGTTTAGTAAAACTATACACTTAACAGAACTTTTTCAAAAGGAGACCAAACCATTGCAAATATTTTCTTTATTACATACTTTAAAAAGGAATGCATACATTGTTCACAACCTTAAAATACATATACACAAAATGGTAGTTAAAAAATAAAAGCAAAAAACCATAAACATATACTGGCCTAAATGTCAGGGGATATCCGAGCACACACTTGTAAATATAAATAAATGCACTGGATTTGGCTCTTTTTGGCTTGCTTGAATAAAGGCCAATGGGTTTGCATGAACAGTCTCAGGATAGTGAGAGATCCATAACTTTGTCTTGTCGACAACACTTTCCTTCACTTGGAGACCATTGTAAAACCCTGGGAGTTTATCCCAGCTCCTGCATAGTCTGGCATTTCAAAATACAGGGAAACAAATATAAATCCCACTGCACAGCCAATTAGTTCCGCTGCAAGTTTAACAAGCTATATTATCTCATAAAAGCAAATGAATAATTAATGGCAGTTTCCAACCCATTTTCAGAACATGCTTAGACAGACGTGGAGATAATAAATTTCAAAATGCAGCTGCGGTTATTGCACTCAAGGACCCCACCCCCAGCTCCAGATAAAACCTGGAGAGATCAAGCGGATGCACAATGCTGGAATGTGGGGAGTTACAAGAAAGGCAGTCAGCGCAGAGACACGGGGAGACCGTACACCACCGGGGCAGCGCCGATGAGGTGTTTCAGCCGCGGCGCCTGGCGGGATGCGGTCATGTGATCCAGGAGGGGCGCCCCGCGACCGGCCCCCAGCCACAGCTGCAGGAGGGTCTTCATGAAGCGGTCGATGTCCCGGTCCGTCACATCCCACAGGTTGCCAAGGACCAGCGGGCTGGGAGAGATGGCAAGAATTGCTCATAACTAACATTTAAATGATGGGGATGGAGATGTACAGATACTGATGGATGCAAGTTACCAGGGAAGATTCCACTGGACAGCGACAGACTAGAAGAGCAATGCTGAGAGCAAGGTGCTGTGAAATGACAGGTGGCGGTACCTTTCCATATCAACATGCTGCAATAGCAGGTATACAAACTTATAAGCTATAACAGCATCACAAACACACAAGGTTACCATGGGCCAATGTGGCATCTTGCTGAAAAATGCCAGGGGCTGCCACCTGTTAACCAGCACCACTCCTTAACATACGATTCATCCATTTTTTAACAGCCTAATCCAATCCAAGCAACAGGTGCACAGCAGGATAAACCCTGGATGGGACACTAGTCCATCACAGGATACGCACACATACCAAGGACACATTTCCCAGGAGCCAGTTAACCTACCAGCATGTCTTTGAATGTGGGAGTAAACCGGAGCACCTGGAGGAACCCATGCAAACACAGGTAGCACAGCAACTCTACACAGATAGCAGCCCAGGTCCATAATTGAACACAAGGCCCGAGCTCAGTGACCCAGCGATACTGACCACTGCGTTGCCGTGCCCCCCTTAAGTTGCCCCACTCTTGACATGACATGAATAGAAATCAAGTCCCACGTGCCCATGTGTTCACAACAATAGCAGGCCACTGCTAGTATTTAAGTACAGCAGCAGCACGGAAGCACGGTGCTCTCTCACCAGCCAGCCATGAGGTAGTTGAGAACGATGCCTGTGCCTTCCAGTTCGCCTCGGACCGCCAGCGCAGCACTGCTGCAGCCGAAGAGGAGGGACACAGCGTGGAAATCCTGCCGCAGGACCGCCGAGCCGTCCAGGAACCGTGCCCCGGCCCCATGTCCCGCGTAACTGCGGAGGAGAGGCAGGTGGTTAGAAAGAGCCCACAGAAGCACACCCAGTGGAGCAGGAACTGCTGCCTCCGCTAAGCTATCAGAGATCATTTGGATGGTTCAAACAACCTGTTTCTTAAAATCTTACTCAGCTGCTAAGTGAGACGTAGGACTAAAACCTACAGAACTCCAGGCCACTGAGATCAGCAGGTACACTGCCCTGACACTCACACCGGGGCCAGTTTTCCCAGATGCCACCGGTTCGGTGGCATCTGGGAAAACTGGCCCCGGCAGAACCAGCATGTCTTTGGACTGAGAGAGGAAACTGGAGCACATGGAGGAAACTCATACAAACATGGGCAGGACATGCAAACTCCATGAAGATACCAGAGCACCACAGAGAGAGAGAGAATGGGGAGGCAGAGACAGACGGAGACTCGGGAACTGGCTGCTAGCACACACAGAAATGCAGAAGGGTGCAGACTGCCACACCAGTGATACTCACACATAGAGGTCCTGGGTGGAGAGGGCCTCTTGCACCTGCTCGGGGGTCGGGGCTCGGCCACACACACCCTGCCAGCCCTCCTCACTGCAGAGAAGGTCCAGGCCACCAGTCAGGAGGGGGGACGGGGCAAGAGGCACACCGGTGGAGAGAAGAGAAAAGCAAGGTCAGAAAAAACGAGAGCTAATTAAACAATTCTGTGCACCATCTCCCTTTTCTTGTCTTTGCACAAGCTGTTTTTGTTTTTACACTTGCTGTCACAGATCGGATCCAGCCCAGTGGTCAGGGCTCTAATCTTAGCTGGAAGGTGGCGGGTTCGAATGCTGATGTCGTGCAGTCATACTTTTAAGGGAGCTGAATCACATGTTGCTCCAGTAAGACACCCTGAGGAGTCCAGCTCCAAGTCCAGCCATCCATTTTCTAACCACTGCCTTCAACTGAGGATCGCAGGGAAGCCAGAGCATATTCCACAAAGCAGTGGGCACAAGGCAGAGTACACCCTGAACAGGACCCCAGTCCATCGCAGGGCATACAGACACACTCGCACCCGGGCCAATTTTCCCAGAAGCCAATTAACCTCCCAGGATGTCTCTGGACTGAGAGGAAACTGGAGCACCTGGAGCAAACCCACACAAACAGGGGGAGGGACATGCAAACTCCATGAAGATAGCACAAGGAGTCCGGAATGTAATGGAGCAGCAATCCTAACCACAGCTACACTGTGCCACCCTCCCAGCTCCAAGTCATTTTAGAAAAATGTCAGCCTAAATAAATGCTAGAAAACTGCACACATTAAGCCCTAATAGGCCTTCCCACAGTATAGTATGGGCCTGCTCCATTGAGCAGGCCACTAAAATTGCTCAAGTGGGACCTGTGCATTCATAACAGGTCGCACGCCAACAGGGTCACATGGGCAGAGCCTGCTGGCGCTGGAGCCCGCGGGTGTGCGCGCCTGCGGCAGGCTCTCACCTGGTGAACCAGTCCCGGAAGCGCTCCTCGGTGCCCAGCAGGTTGGCCTGTGGGTTCAACACGTAGAACGTGCGCCGTGGGTCCACACCCTGGTTCAGAACCGAGCGTGGGTCCAGCTGGGCAGGGAGAGAGAAGCAGTGAGTGTGGGCCGCTACAGCAGGCCACTAAAAAAAGCCTAGTGCCACCACCTGCAAAGTTCCCCTGACTCTGCAAGCTAGCGAGTGCAGAAAAAACACTCCAAAGATGCAGCACCCAGAAGTTCTCGTATCAGTCTCTGCAAATCCAACACTGATTAATAGTACTGCACAAGACATTTGGATAACGCAAAGCCAACATTCCTAGTGTAGAAAGAC